CTGCGACTATCCCTGCCAATCCCAATATCTTAACAAAAAGTGCCTGAGGTAGTGTCTGTGTTACTGACTGTTACATCAGTTACTCCAATAGGCCATTTCATTTCATGCTGAATACTTTTAGCTAGTTTATTCTCTTTACATTGTTTTAATGCATTAAGTACGTCTTTCCATGATGCTTGAGGGTTAGCTTGTAACCATCTCTTGTGCAAAGCCATTTTCTTGAGGTGAGCATTTTTTTTCTTTTTATCAATTACATTGACGTCAGATTGTGTTATTCCAGGAAGACAAAGAGCAAATGGCTTCCAATCAACAAGTGGTTTAAGACACTTTGTAAATGTAAGACAAGATGGTTGGTCATCAATCATAGGACCAGGATTGAGTTCAACATCTCCTGATAAGAGGAGGAGCATACGTAGACAAACAATCAAATAGAGATCATTGTAAATCAGGTTAGAACTGCTGCCTCCAGGTAAGACTACTGACTGGAGGTAATTTGTATCAGTAACAGTAACACCAGTAGTACATTGTACTTGGTAGCAGTTACCTAATAATAAAATACCAGTAAATATACAAGTACAAAGTTGCAATTGTTGTTTACCTGTTGAAGGAATCATCAAGATGTGTCTTAATAAAGAGAGAAAGAGAAAGAGGAGGAGGAGTAAAGCAATAAGAGACAGAGCTGCTGGCAGTTTAGATGTCTTCTCTCCTGATGTAGTACTGCCTGATTTGCTGTCTACTGCAGCTTTGAATGAGTGAGAGTGGCGGCCATTAGCTGGTCTACTGGAGGCAGCTTGACAGTAGTTCCATAGTCCAATACTTGCTCTCCATTGAGAGACATCAATCATCTTGTACTGTATGAGTATGAAGGACACACAACAATACAAAAAGCAGGTCTTTATAAAAGGAAGAGAAGCAGTGTATATGATACGGCAGAAATATACCTCTATCTATCAGATCACCAGCTAAGAAAGAGGTAAAAGGTGTGGCACTAGCAATATAGACGATCGACACTGAACTAACTGGGCTATATTCATATTGCTATGATTGTCATGTGAGTGTGTCTGGGGGAGTATGTGATTGTTTACATTCCTACATGTATTTTTGACTAAATTTGGTCATAGCTTTTCTATCCTTTTACTATGTATGTATAACAATGCTTAATTTTCAAAATATTTCATTACATTTGACAAAACATCAAGTTAAATAGAGATATAAAATAAAACAAGAGCAATGCACCAGTATAAAGGATAGGTGTATCAGTGTATGTGTGTGGCTCATGAAAATAGTTACTGGAACACACCAATAACACTGAATATCATTATTGATTGCTAGTTATTATAGTAACACTTATTATTACTATTACTTTATTGTGCATAAATCAAATTCTCCCATTCCCAGTACATGTACACAGTCAGTACACACATCAAATTAAAGCACATTCTCTTTATTTCTTCCCCATCCCTTCTCTCTCTCTCTTTACTCTCTCACCCTGTTTCCCCATCTCTAGTCTCTTTTACTACATTTTAATAAGCTGGATCATTCAAACTAACCCTGTGAGGTAGAAGGACAAAGAGAGGAAGAAAAAGATGGAAAGAGCAAAGGCAAGAGAGTAAAAGAGAGATGTAGGTGAGTGACATTGATAGCAACGGCACAGCAGTGTTAAACAATAGGTAATATGCTTAAACTACATGTAAATTAGGAGTTAAAAAGAGGAGAATAATACGAGCAGAAGAATAGTGAATGAATATTAATAAAAAATTTTAGAATCTGGACCAAATATGCTCTATTAACTATTTAAATTATTTTATTGGGCCAAACTTTAATCTTTTTGTATGTAAAACTCTTTGCGTTTATCATATATCATTCAATTTTTGATTGTTTACATGTTTACACATGTTTAGTTTTGAAGATTGGAGAATGAAGACATGTAGACTATATATGTAATCTACAACCTTGCAACACTTATAATCTTACTGTAACTGCTCAGTAATACATGCAAGCAGTTACATCTTACTGTATATAACTGCTTTTCATTCCTATTATACATGGAATAATAGGAATGAAAAATGCAACTACATGTACACTAACTTACTACTAATGGTATTCTAGAAGCTAAAACTATTCTACCAAGATTAGATACAGTTATGTCATCAACTCATCACCTATAAACATAATAATAATAACAATAATGAATAATTTTAGTCAAGGTTTATACATAATTGCATGCCACTAATGTAATATCTTGGTAAAGGCTCTCTCAACAGCTGATACAATATAGTAGGAAATTATGGAGGGAGTTAAATTTGGCAAATCACTAAAATTTGATGATTGGCAAATTTTAATTTGGCAAATTAGTGGCCACATGCCATTGAACATGCATATAATGGCTCAAAATGGCAGATTTTATTTTGGCAAATGGCTGTCAAAATGCCAAATTTGCCAAATTTAATTCCTTCCAAAGTTTCCAGCAATATGGTATACAATTAGTACAAAGGTGGTACTCTTTTATCCCAGTAAGCTTGACAGCTACACAAAATCAACCATAGCCAACTACATGTACCTCACCTTCTGGCCAATCAGAGTCATGAAATGAATGTCATTTGTAATTTAACAAAAAATTATCATCACTCTTTCTATAAAAAAAGGTATGACTTAAGCTATACATGTAAGATTCCCTTACTTCATCATAATTGCTAAAGCAACCCAGTGCACTGAATATAGTGACCAATAGTAATGGAGTAAATACTGGAAAAAAGGGATAGGAAAATAAAGAGATATCAAAATGGTAAACCATAAATATTTGATTTTGATCAGAATCAACTGAAAATTTCTACACAACATAAGTACATATATACGTATCAGATAAAATTATAAAAATAGATAATCCTCTCTTTTTCAATTTTGGCGAATTTTTTTAATTTCATAAAAATCTAACTTTGATTCGAATCAGCTCAAACTTTCTACATAAATTAAATAAATTAGAACATAAATTAGATAAATTAGAACATAAATAAGCTTTGTTCTGTCAATTTAAGCACTTGAAATGCTAATTCCAAATTTTCAAGTGCATTAATTTGCAGGCCATAAAAACAATAGAATTGCTTTGTTAGCATGCATGCATTCTGGTGCCCATTTCAGTATTCAGTCTATCATAGTGGCAAAAAATCTCTAAACAAGATACTTATCACACCATGTTAAGCACATTACAAATAGACTAAATTTATAAATTCAATTATTTTAAATAGTTTATACTAATGCATGCAGACTAAACCACCCTCATCACAAAGTGAATTTAAAATCATCAGTGTTTTGCATGCACATGATGATGAATTTAAAGCATGCATTACTATAAAGTGTCTAATGTCTGATATCCACTAGATGCTGTTTCAGATGCACTGTAATTATGAAGTAATTCCTTTATTTTATCAGTCTTGGCTACTAATAATGCAGTTTTTCCTTTAATAGATTTAATATTTGGATCAGCTTTCGATTCTAATAATAACTTAACTATTTCATAATGTCCTTGGGTACTGGCAAAAAGTAAAGCAGTATGACCTTTTCTATTCTGAACATTAGGGTCAACTTGTTTAGGGCCAACTTGTTTATTCAGCAACAGTTCAACTATTCGAGTATGTCCCTTTTGGCAAGCCAACATTAGAGCATTTGCTCCATCATTCATTGGAACATTAGGATCAACTTGTCCCTTTAGTAACAAATCAACTACTTGAGTGTGACCATTTTGACAAGCCAACATAAAAGCATTCCAACCATCTTTTGCTTGAACATTAGGATTAATATGATTTTTCAGTAACAGGTCAACTATTTGAATGTGGCCATTTTTACAAGCGATCATAAAGGCACTCCAACCATCATTCGTTTGAACATTAGGATCAAATTTTTCCTTCAGCAACAGTTCAACAATTTGATTATGGCCACTTTTACAAGCCAGCATAAAACCATTTGCTCCACTTTCTTTTTGAATATTAGGATCCACTTGTTCCTTCAACAGCAGTTCAACTATTTGAGTGTGGCCATTTTGACAAGCCAACATAAAAGCGTTTGTTCCATCTTTTCGCTGACATTTACAATCAACTCCATTACTAATCAATAGTTTAACAACTTCATAGTTACCATGGAAACTTGCAATCATTAAAGCATTTGATCCATTTGACGTCTTCAGGTGAGGATTAGCATTAGCTTGTAGTAACATGTGAATGATTGAAATGTGATTATGTTCACTTGCCACCATTAGTGGAGTCAATTTTTTATTATTCTGAATGTCAATCTTAACTCCAGCAGACAGTAAACTGTGTACAATGTCCTCATGCCCTCTTTCACAAGCTATCATTAGTGCTGTATTGCCTTCTTCATTAGTATGATCAATATTAACAGTTTCTAGTTCAAGAAGAAACTCTACTGCTTCATTATTACCAGCTGTGACTGCCTCAAGGAGAGCTAGTTCAAAGGTGAAGTTCATATTCTCATCTTCTTGAAGGACAGGATGATCATTAATGTATAAACTAAATATACCAATGAGACGCATAAACTGTAACTTTCCTCCAGTATATTCTATTAGACTATCAGCTGTAGAACCATATACAGAATATTTGATGATAACAGATCCAGACGATATTGTAATATATTTCATTATGATTTGCTGGTATCCAACTGGAAGTAAGTTGTGGATCAGTAGAGAGAGTCCATTGATGTTGCTACCATGCCATGGATTATGAAGCTTCACTAAAATCATTGGCATATTTGATAGATCTGGTATATGTTCTTCATACAATTTTTTCAGTGACTCATTAAGATGCTTCACTTGAGCTGAACATCGAAGTTTGTTAGCTTTTTCCATATAATTTTTTAGTTCGCTAACAATACTTAAATCATTGTCACCAAATTTGAAATCTCGTAGAAAAATTTCACTCATGTCCACTATCAGACTGCAATCAATAAAATCATAAAATGGATGAATAATTTTGAAAGTTTCATCTAATGATGCATTTGTTAGTTTATCATTCAAATGCATGTAAGTCTCCAACCATATGTTAAGAGCATGTAATATATTAGAATCATTTTTAATCTTCTTTTCAAGACCTAACCGTGCATGCATAATTAAACTAGAAAACTCTTTTTTGAGGTTAATTAGAGTAAGCAATATCTCCTTTTCATCTTCTGCTGTATAAAACTTTACTTCTGCTTGTGATGATTGTCTGGTAGTAACAGCAACATAACTGCTAGCTGACCTTGGTGCGCTTTTTTGCAAGTTATTTCTGATGTATTGGGCAAAGTTATTTTCTCTTGTTTTGCTCAGTGCATTAATAACATCAGCCCATGTTGCTTTAGAAGCAATGTGCAACCATTTTGCATATAATGCTAACTTTTTGCCATCAATTGTTGTATTATCTGCTTCAATCTTTAATATGTCCGAATAAGTAATTCCTGGTAAAAAATGACCAAATGGTTTCCAGTCAATGAGTTCTTCAAGCCATTGAGTTAGCAATGAAATGTCAGGTCGATCATCAATCATAGGACCAGGATTGACTTCAACATCTCCTGATAAGAGGAGGAGCATATGTAGACAAATAATCAAATGGAGATCATTGTAAATCAGGTTAGAACTCCTGCCTCCAGGTAAGACTACTGACTGGAGGTAATTTGTATCAGTAACAGTAACATCAGTAGTACACTGTACTTGGTAGCAGTTACCTAATAATAAAATACCAGTAAATATACAAGTACAAATTTGCAATTGTTGCTTACCTGTTGGAGGAATCATCAAGATGTGTCTTAATAAAGAGAGAGAATGAAAGAGGAGGAGGAGGATAGCAATAAAAGACAGAGCTGCTGGCAGTTTAGATGTCTTCTCTCCTGATGTAGTATTGCCTGACTTGCTGTCTACTGCAGCTTTGAATGAGTGAGAGTGGCGGTCATTAGCTGGTCTACTGGAGGCAGCTTGACAGTAGTTCCACAGTCCAATACTTGCTCTCCATTGAGAGACATCAACCATTCTGTAATGATATATTGAAGTAACACTACAAGAAGTACAACTATGTAATCTAATATATGTAACTGAATCATCAGCGTCATGTGACAGTGACTGTTTGTTTTACTTCCCACTGTTATCAGTTACTATATTTCCAAATTTGGAAATTTTCTATATCTCAACTACATCATCTATTGATGTCGTTTGGTTTACATTTTTATAACCAAGACAACCAGCAACTGAGACAACCAAATAAGAAAAATTCCATACTCCGTAACAACCAAAAGAATTTACTATAGACCTTCAAGCTCAACTTCCACTACTAAGAGGCAACATATGTATAGGTTATACACTGAGGTAGAGGTTTCTATGGTATTTATTAACTGAGCGATGCAGTCGCAAGGTTAATAAATACCATAGAAACCGATACCAAGGTGTATAGCCAACTTCTACCATGACACTTGAAAAACAAATACCAGCTGCTGATAATAAGACCACAGTTGACATACATACAACATATCTAACAGGCTAGGCCAGTAAAGAATCAACCAAACTTGACAAATGGACTAATAAGAGCATAAGCGTAGAGCATCAAACTGCCAATCAATTAATTATTTAACAAGATAGGTTTTTCTACCATGCCTAGTTGCAATTGACCAATCAGATTGCTTGATTTTAGGTTCATAAATAACTTATTTACCACTAGGAGGTTTGATAAGTAATTTCCCTGGTAATAGGAGGTTAATAAGTTTGCCCGGGAGGTTGATAAGTTTGTCCGGGAGGTTAATAAGTTTGCCCGGGAGGTTAATAAGTTTGCCCAAGAAATTACTTATTAACCTCCTGCTAAACTGAAATAGGCATGCATGCCATACTGTTGTTAAGTGTTGCTAAGTAAACTAGTTGTTTATTTTAATACATGGTAGAAGTTGGTTACTGTTATACAACTCTGTGTTGGTATCTATGGCCTTATCATACCTCAGGCCTACGGCCCTCGGTATGATAAATGCCATGAGATACCTCACCTCGTTGTATAACCTATACATATTTTTACGAGCTAGGTCAATATGAAAAATAATTGATCTCCAATACTGCAATCTGATTGGTCAATCGCAAGGTGGCATGGTAGAAAACTATGTAAAGCTTGAAAATAGGACACTGTTATTTATTATCAATATTATTATTATTATTATCATTGTTTCTGACATGTGCTTATACGTTTACTTGTATCATGTGTACTTTAAATGTCATGTTATATGTTATTATTGCTATCGTTATTATTATTATCATTATTATCATTACTATCATTACCACACATGTATGTATATGAGCTCTGTTTACATTGCAACAAGTAGCCTTAAATCATGTAATAAATAGTTGGTTAATTTTTAACTAATAATTATTGCAGTCAATAAAAATTAATAGTTAAAATTTTTATAATTAAGTATATACATCATGTCACTCATTCATGCATTATCCAGGTGTTTTAAGCCAGTTACTATGGCTAGAAATGGCCACAAGCACTACAATTAGAGGTGTATTACACACAATTAGAGGTGTGTTAAGTACCTATTCTGCATCAAATAATATGCACAAGAATCCACTCTCGGTAATAGCTAATTCATTAAGAATATCGGGATACATGTAAAACTGTGTGTTTATCAATAATTGTTTTATTACGACCTGGGGGCGAAGCCCCCAGGTCGTTCCTATAATTGATTTCACCCACGTGCGATTTGTATGTCAACACTTACATTTCTTCTATACATGTTGTATTGGAGAAATAACAAGCCTTAGCAACCACCCGCCCACGCTACGTAAGTGGGTGTGGTCACGGCAAACAAGATGGCGGCATAGATATTAGAGTAAATGAAAGGGATAGGAAACCACCGTTCCCGGCAGGAAATGCTAGTTGCTAATACCGTATTAAATTGAACTGATTATTAGAGTAAAATGGTGTATGAAAAATAAGCCGAGAAGTCCTTATAAGATCTCCTTATAAGCCGAGAAGTCCAGTCATGGTCCTCCATTTTCCTAGTTTCCCGGTAAGAAAAACGACAACTTGCATACGTCGCTAGGCAACGCATGACATGCCTATAAATTTTACGGTGGTTTCCTATCCCTTTCATTTACTCTAATATCTATGATGGCGGCTTGCACATGGGACAAAGTTATGAGCTTTCTAACAGCGAAAGAACATAAAGATACTGTCTAAAGACTTCTCTAGAAGCATTAGAAGGTAGAGAGAACCTTTATAAGTCTTAATAAGAACCCAGTTGTACTTGCAAGGTGGTGAAAACAATTATAGGAATATTTTTACACTAATACGCTTGTTTTTTATAGCACATCTACATGTATAGTCAGTCAGCTGTTTGTAATCCTGCCAGGATTTTGGAGAAAAAAACAACTTGGCCTACCAAAACAAACCCAGTACACAGTATATTTCATGTATTATTAGATTATAACAAATAAAACTATATGTATACACCACGACTAACTGCATTCTAGGAGCTACCAAGATTAGATACTAATGAAGCAATGTCATCAGCTCATCACCTATAAATAAAACAACAACAACACTAACAATAATAGAACATTTAGTCAAAGTTTATACCTAATATGCATGCCACTTTCTTGGTAAAGGCTCTCTAAACAGATTGTATAGTGCAAAGGTAGTACTCTTTTTTTCCCAGTAAGCTTGACAGCTTAGAGTCATGATGGAGTATAATAGAAATGGAGTAAAATAGAAATACTGGAAGAGAAAGGAAAAAAGATATCAAAAATGGTAAATCATCATAAATGTATAATTTTGATCAGAATCAACTCAAACTTTCTACACAACATAAGTATATCTATATGTATCAGGAAAATTATAAAAATTGAAAATTCTCTCTTTTCCACTTTTGGTGAAATTTGGCCAATGACGCTGTACTCAAGGACTCTGACCCAATTTTTGAGCTGCTTTAAAAATTCATAAAAAATCCAATTTTGATCAGAATCACCTTAAACTTTCTAAGCAACATAAGTACATGCATGGTATATGTATCAGAAAAAATATTAAAAAATTTTCTCTCCTTCATTTTTGGCAAAAATTTGGTCATTGAGCCTGTACCAATTACAGAGACTTTGTCCAATTTTTGAGCAACTTTCAAAAATTTATAAAAATCTAATTTTGATTTGAATCAGCATAAAATTTCTACATAACATAAGAACACTATGATGTATACATATCAGAAAGCTGAGAAAATTAAATGATTCTCTCTTAACCAATAGAGAGAGAGATGCTAAAGTATCAGACATGCATTTTAAGCATAGCTCAAAATGCATCAATATGTGAAGCCAATTTTTGAAAAGGTATATGCTTGAAATATTGTTCCCTCAAAAAAATATTGGAAAATTTATTTGAACTTTCTACATGCGTACATTAAATTAATAATTAATGATACCTGGGGGTGGTGGAGGGGGTAAGGGTTGATCTCTGTGTGGGATAGGGAGTGGAGCACCATTAATATTAACCTTCTGTTAGCCGTTCTGAGTTCACTCATCTTAAGTAGAAATTTAAGGTGAATATAAAATACTACAAAATATATTACCATACATGTTAGTCTTTCCGTAGGTAGTAATCAGTGAGACTATGTACATGTGTACATGTTCCCTCCTTCATCTTCTCTTTTCCCAATGTCTTCAATAATGATATCTACTAAAGTCATAAGATTAATGATCAGTCAACTTTCCTCTACCTAATATATACCCATGTAATGTGAAATAAAATGGCGTATTCTATCACAACCATTGCCTCCTTTATAAACACCTAAAACACAACATGCAAAATACAAAATAATCAAATTCACTTTACTTGACTGTCTTTACATCCAGGCAGTAACAGGCAGTAACTAGGAATCATTTTTACAACGTGAGCTAAAAAGACTACGTTGACACGTGCACGCACGTGGAAGTTGACTGTCGAGTGCCACGCCCAATACAAATTAAAATTTATCAGCACATAATGATTTGTTTAGTCTATTTTTGGTTGGATCAGCACTGTTACTATACTCATATATTGACACTATTGATTCCCTGATAGATCTACCACTGAATTTTAAACATGGAATCAGCAATCAGTCATAAAGTTTTTCCTGCCTGCACATGATGAAACTTGATTCATGAAGTGCTAATTTGCAATCTTTTCCTGGGCTTATGCTGCTCTTGGAATGCTAATATTAGTACAGTATGTTGTGTTAATTTTAACACTTGGAATGTTGATTCCAACTTCCATGTGTGTCTGTAATTTACAATAAATTTATCTTACTGATCATTCAACATATAATACATAGTAAGCATGCATTGTGGTGGCTCTTGTTGTGTTAATTAGTTGATACACATTTCAGTATTCATGCAGTTTATCATAGTGGTAAAGAATCTCTACACAAGATTCCTATCACACCATTATTAGCACATTATTACAAATAGACTAAATACGTAGACAGTGGCTTTTAACTGGAGCTAGCTATTGTTGACAAAATCATTCAAAGAACTGATAACTGACTGTAGTAACTGCCCTATATCTTAAAAATGCATTTCCATACTGATGGTAACTATTCTTTTCCTGAAGACTTCAATGGGCCATTGATAGCAGCTGCACTTACTGTTGAATTCATAGGAGCATTGGTTGCTAATGGTATTGTCCTCATTGCTACTCTTATTCAATATAAATCCTTAAAGGTTTTATCTACAATGCTCTTTACTTCACTCATTATCATACACCTTATAATATCTGTCCTGTTTATTCTGCTTTGGATCATATCAGCAGCAAGTGAAGAATGGATCTATGGAACAACAATAGAACAAAAAATAGCAGCTTGTACATTTCATGGTTGTGTCCTCAACTATGGAATATGGATTATTTTTGGTACAATAACTGCTATGTCTGTTGATCACTGTATCTTTATTGTCAAACCTAACTTTTATAAAAGATTTATGAAACCAAAGGTAACTCTGACCTTAATTGCTTTGATTTGGGTAGTAGCTCTAATTCTTGATACTGCACCACTTTATGGTTTTGGAGAGGTTGCATATGAAGAATATGGAGCTTGTGTACCACGATTTGAAGGTGAAATCACTTACGTTGTCATCACAATGACACTTGTCATCATGCAAATATGTATCATCATTGTCACCTCAACTTGGATCTATTGCTTCACTCATAAGTTCATTCAAGAACACTCTCAACTAGCAGATGATGTCTACGTGTCTAGGAACAGAAGATTGGTTGGTATATTTTGTGCCATGCTCATTGGATAGATAATCTGCTTCCTTCCTCCTGTGGTTGTTACTTTTTTGAGTCAAATTTTTGATTTAACATGGAAACATTATATAGCTGGACTTATCCTTTTCTTAATGGTGAATATTGTCAACCCAGTTATCCAGTCATACTTCAGGCCTGATATAAAGGAGGTACTAGTTAAATTTTATCGTAAAATTCGAAAGCAGAGTTCATCCAATAATGCAATAGTACCCATGCAAGTTTTGCCGATTTCTAGTAATACGGAAACATTGTGATCAAGAAAGAAGAATTTAGTTCACATTACAATAGTTATTTTAGTACAGTGACATGTTTTGTTATGTCAATTTTTCACTTGGAATGCTAATTCCAAGTTTGTTTGTATCTTGAAATACTAATTTGCAGGCTGTGTTTGTATTGCGAACAACGATTGAAATGCTAAGTTTCTAAACAAATTAGATCAGATTCCATGCAAGTATAGCTATGATCTTTAATGTGATTCCTTATGAGTGGTCATTATGTGTCATTGTGCACCCATTAATGATGAATATGTTCTTTTCTTAAAAGTTTCTCTTGTTTCTTTCTAAAGCAATGCATGGACAATAAATAATGCTGACAACTAGATAATACTAAAATCATGTGGCCTACAAAAATTCTAAATTAGAAAGACTGATGCTTAACATCATTAATCAGCTAAGGCAGCAGCAAAAAGAGACTGAACAATGTCATGATGAGGGTAACCAGAGACATTTTCATGGAATAAGCAGAGGACGGAGGTGTAGTTTTATCTTCACATTTGGGTAGAAAGGTACTCCTCTCACTAAGGCCTTTCTTCCCTAGTATATCAGTGACAGAATCAATGCCACTACAGTAAGCAGCATGAACAGTTCCAGTAGAATAGACCATGACACCTTCACCACTGAAGCATAATCTTCCCTCTGGTACAGCAAGGTTTTCCAGGAAAAGTACTCCTTCAGCTGCGAGAAATAATAACACAATCCAGAGCATTTTTATGTTTGGATGTTAGACAGTTCAGGCCAGTAGCAATAGAAGCACTTCCAACTGGATGTATTGATCTTATTCGTGATAACAGTTTTATACCAATGGATCCTAATAGCTGATAGTTATAATAACCTAGCTTCTGTTCATACATAGATCTATACCTGCTACAGGAAGTGCCCTCCATTTACATGAAGAGTGTTCCATGATCCAGTGGGCTGTAATGGAACACTGTTGACTCAATTATGTTATTCTTATGAATTTATTTGAAACTATTGTGACCATCTTTTTTGTTTTTTCTCCATTATTTAAGTTTTTTACATTAAAGGAGACAATAGATGCAGCTAAAGAGAGTCTGTCTTTGTATGAGCAAGAAATATACATGTAGGAATGATTTGCCACGAAAGTTAGGAGGGGGCTGAACATAAAAAACATATGAACATGTACTGCATGTCTGATTTATGTCATATTTTTATTACTGCTACATTAATTCACACTATATGTACATTCAAATTAAGCTAATAATAATAACAACCTACTAATAACTTGAAATTAAGGCATGTAATGGTGATTTCTTATTGCTCATCTACCAAAATTTGGGGGGCTAAAAATATTTCTGTGGTTGTAAATGAGATAGAAATGAGGACAATTTTATTTAGTGTATGCTTCCGTATAATGTGTGACATGCCAACCACATAATAGCACTGCTGTGTTGTGAAGCATGGAGTAAAGCAGCCTATTGTCTGAAAGAGTGATTGTAGATCTTAAGCATCTAATTATCCATGAAAATATACAGTACATGCATCTATAACAAATCAATGACACTTGATTTGTTGGGTACTATACTATAGCATTAATATGTACTAAATGCATCAGGAAATACTTGGAATCAGTGCTAATTTTGGATATAAGCAGAGCAGCATATGCATAATTGTCCACATATAGTAGATCTATAATTGTGACAAACTTCTTTTAAAGCATTCATCTAATTTATAATTAGGGAAAGAAAAGCAACTAACAAAAATCTATCTAGAAACAAAATTAAAATACTGTAGTGTAAAAATGGCCTAACAAGAAACAGCATCAAAAGTTAGACTATATATTGTGTTTAGTGAAATGCAGCAAAAAGACTAGCAACAAAGAGTGCTATGATGAGGCTAATTAGAGAAGTGCTGCCCACAGAATAAGCAGAGGAAGGAGGCGCTGTAGTTGTTGGAGTAGGACTTGGTGTTTGAGATGGTGGCATTGTAGTTCCATCTTCACATTTGGGTAGAAAGGTACTCCTCTCACTAAGGCCTTTCTTTTCTAGTATATCAGTGGCAGAATCAATGCCACTACAGTACGCAGCATGAACAGTTCCAGTAGAATAGACAATGACACCTTCACCACTGAAGTATAATCTTCCCTCTGGTACAGCAAGGTTTTCTTTTTCTTCAAGAGTTAGATTTAGTGGAATGTTGGAAAACATGCCACGATAAAACTCATCATTATACCAGTCGTAATATTCAATGTCAGTAGCATTGGGAATGTTACTACCATACCAAAGATGCATCACATCCATGATTTCATTGTAGATTTCATTCTTAGTGAGACTTGATACTCTTTTAGCTTCATCACCAGTTAAAGGAACTGTACACATTGCAGGTGAACCTGGTAGACCTCTACCAATAGGCTCCAATGCATGATAATAGCCATATCGGGTGTCAGTACGAAGTATATAGTCAGTTTCTGTATTCCAGAATGAGCTCGGAAAACTAACAAGTATTGGAAAATACAGACCCATTCTTGAATTTTCTATTGCAGCAATTTTTCTGCTACTGAGAGTTCCATTAAATCGACCATTTTCAAGAAAGTTCTGCAATACTCCAATAGAAAATGTTGTAATGCCATAATCACCACAGACCCTTCCCTGCCCAGCAACATCAGCACAGAAACACTCATCATTCCAATCAATGCTTGTAACCACTGCTCCTAATTCTATTTTATTTGAAAAAGGCTCAGCAATACAATGAACAATCGAAACATACCCACGCTGATCAGTAACCCTGAAATCAGACTCACCCTCAAACTTATATTGGTCATATTCGGCAATCAATAAAGGAAGAGATGATCGATCAGTTGTTGTTGCATAAGAATAGTCAAATTTATCCCATTCGACAAGTTGCTTTAATAGAGTATCAGGATTCCACCCTTCATATCTTAATGCATCCCTAACTGAGATATCTGAATCGTTTTCGAATATTTTATCGAAAAATATTTCGTTGTATTCCTCAATGACTGGTTCAGCATTGACGACATTGTAATTCCCAGTACTGTTAGTATCCATATATTCAGACTCACCAGTATAATTTCCTTTAAGGACTTCTGCAAAGCACTTGCTTGGATCACGAGCCAGAGTCCAGATTGGGTTAACCCCAGGCCCACCGATTGTCTGTGGATTTTCAGGCATCTCGTGTATCCAGTAGGCACCAGTTTCTACCTGGACTCCCATAAAACTTACATTTCTCATTCTTCCTCCAATTCTCTTGCTGTTTGCTTCCAGTATTTTGATATTAGTTATCCCACTGTCGTGCAGTGTTCTCGCAGCAGTGATGCCTGCCATACCAGCTCCAAGTATCAGGACTTCAGCATCTTTTTGAGCAGGACATTCCAGAGAAACAACTCCTTCAGCTACAAGGAACAATAATGCAATCGAGAACATCTTCATCTTCTTGTCAATAGCTAGGTGGATACCGGTATAGAGGGCGCGACTAATTAACTTAGACGGTTACTGAGGTATGAATATTATTCCCATTAAATCATTTATTCAATGGGTTATAATAGGAGCCCACTACTACTCATGCATGCATGGAATCATCAGCCAGTAATTCTGTTGCTAGAGGCAGCAACACTAACTCCATGAAATTGCTGATGATATATCTTGTGTTTGGTTCTCATTCACTCAGTGCGATGGTGATAAAATCGTGGACTATCAACAGATGGTGAATTTCATCAAAGTAAGTAATATACATGTATATGCCCACAAGTTTAATGCAGTGACATTAAACTACATAATAACATTAGCCTCCTCCCAATAGCATTAATATATTTATAGTAATAGTCTAAGTAGATTATAGATCTATTTAGTTTATTCATGCCTTGAGCTTTAATGATATTCATATACCCAATAGGGACTGGTTTAATCTGATAGTTTATGAGACTCGTGATCACTGATGTATAATGTACTACATCTATCAATCAAACAAAAGGTGCTGCCTTTATAAATGCTATTAAAGATACTTAAATCGTTTCATTACCATGAAGGAGCTATTGGTAAAACAAAAGCAATCATTTCGTACTCTAAAATCAACATTACTCATCCTTTGCTGGTGTATATGTATAGCATAAGCTCCCACCTGACAAAAAAATGTAACATTGGATTAGTCATTGTAAGAAAATGACTCACTGAGCCAAGTCAACTTCGCATAGAGAGCTACTACAGACTAGGTTGGTTATACAGATGTCATATTCATAATGAAAAAGAGATTAGCTGTTGTTACAGGTACACATACATGGATGTAGGTGTACTATATTAAATTAGTCCCCACACTCAGTGGCAGGACTTCAAAGACATTACTATGCCAACCAACACATATATAGCAAGAAAGGCTTACATACATGTATATAGACTGATAATAATAATAATAATAGATTACATTTATTTGTTATACTGAAAGTCAAGGAACAAGTTAACAGAAAATAATGAAGAGAAGGAGGGGAGGAGGAGGAGGAGGGGAGGAGGAGGAGGAGGGTATCATTTTATTTTATTTCCTTCTGGATCTTGTTGATGATACCAGTGGTGTCACTAGAGTAACGTCGCCTTCTTTTCGGACGAGCTGTTCTTTAAATTTAGAAACCGAATCTTCAAATACTTGATTAGCTTTGGACTGAGCCTTCTTAGATAAATGTGGCTGAGAAAGAGAAGAGAGAGAGAGAAATGAAGATAATAGAAGATAAGGTTTACCATTAATCCTTTTAAGAATTCATCAATAGCTCCACTTAACATGCCCTAAAAAAGAGAAACAGTACACAACTGTAAATTCTAATGTGTATGCATGTAATATACACAATGCTATACTATAATTTTAAAGAAGCTATAATAAGTCCTCCAGCATTAATACCCTCCAACTCTGCCATCCTTTCTCTTGCTTTAGTTACATGTACATGTATATGTACCTCAACTACTTTATCTTCATCCACTGGTGAGCCTGTCTTTGATACCATTGAGAGCTTTACTCTATTGATAAAGGAAAGGATAATGAGAACACACTGTACACTGTATGAAAGTAGCTCCCCTCCTTCCTCACTTCTCCTTCCTTCCCTCTCTCCCTCCCTTCCTCCCTCACCCTCTCTCCCTCCCTCTCCCCTCTCTTCCTCCCTCCCTCCCCCTCTCTCTATTACTCTTCTAGCTGCTTTGGTTTTCTCTTGGCAGTAGTTGAGGCGGGAACAGTTCTGTTTGGTAATAAAACAAGAACAATAAAAATTTCATGAGTAAATCATGACAGACATACACGTACTATATATCAGTTATGTTATTGTATAGACATTGCTGACTATTAAAAAAACATGTACATGCATCCCATGAAGTTAAAGCATGACCCCAGTACAATAACTCTCAAGACCACAAGAATTTAAAGTCATCATTTCAGTACCACATGTATTGTTAATGTATAGTGTATGTACATGTAAAGCTCAACATAGACTATGCATGCAACACAGTATTATACAGGAGTCAATGGAGCTTGCAAGTTGTAAAGGCCCCCATACATTAGCCTGCAATGTGTTGCTAGCAACATTTGTGGTTACTTTGATCTTGTAAGCAACATGTTGCCAGAAATAGAAAGATGTTCTATTTTTGGCAACATGTTGCTTGGTTGCTAGCAACAAGTTGCCTCGTGTATGAAGGCCTTAACGTGTTTCATGAAATAGGAAACAGTTCTATTTCATGCAACATGTTGCAAGCTCCATTGACTCCTGTATAAACTGTGTTGCATGCAAAAATGTTGCATAGTGTACTTGGGCTTAAATGTGAGTGTGTGTTTATTGTACTTTGTTGTTGCTCTTGCTGGTGTTGTATAGTCAGTAACAGCTTTAGTTCTCCTAATGGAGAGAGAAATAGAGAAGGCAAGTGGTAGAGGGCATTTTGTGAAAAACAGCTAGGAGAAAAATTTTCAATTTTATATAAATACATGTACATTGTACATACATGTTCTTATGTTGCATATAGACACTTTCAGTTGATTCTGATTAAAATATAAACTTTTAAAGTTGCTCAAAATCAGGTAAAAGTCCCTGTACTATTAAGCACAGAGTCATTAGCCACATTTTGCCAATAATAAAAAGAAGAAAATTCTCCATTTTCATTTCCGTAATTTTTCCCAATACACATACACGTCCTTATGTTGTGTAAAAAGTTTGAGCTGACTCAAATGAACATTTGATTTTTTACAAATTTTTAAAATTGCTCCAAAATCAGGCCCAAGTTCCCAGCACTGTAGTACAGGGTCAGGGCCGCTGAGAGCTTTGGAGGGGCTCAGGGAAGGAAATTGTGGTGCGCGAAGCGTGCCAAAAAATTTTGCAGTTTTAATTATATTCATAGTGGGTGTGGTCAAAATTAATTAATTTTTACCTGCACGCATGATAACATCCACTTTGTCTATTGAATTTCAAATAGCTAGGAAGATTGATTTTGATGATATCATAATTTTTTCGCTAGGCAAAAGGCCAGAGGGGCCATCTTCTGTAATAATTTTGTTTAATTAGGTTCTTAAAAAATTTCTTGGGGCCCTTAAAATTGTGGGGCCCAGGGCATTTGCCCCTTTTGCCCCCCCATCTCAGTGGCCCTGTACAGGGTCATTGGCCTGCAAGTTTCACCAAAAATGAAAAGGAGAAAATTCTCCATTTTAATAATATTTTTGTAAAGATTCACGTAGGGCTCCAAATTAAAGAAGTTTTACTGCTATATAACTCACGATCTTAATCTTGTTGACATAGCAACTGAAGGAGGAGGCTCCACCTCTTTTTCAATTTCCTACATAAAAAAATTAATTAAAATTTAAAAAAATATTAAAGTACATGTATGATAATACTTCACTAAAATCAATCATAAAAATAATATTAATAAATGTATTTAATAAACAATAACAATTCAACTTTCAATTGTTCCTTTTTCTCTCTATTATAATGTACATGTATTTAAATATTATTATCATTATTATTCTACCAGATGGTTCTCTTTTTCATTCTCTTCTTGTGCTACTGAGAATTCTTTCATTTTATCAGCTCTCTACACGTACAAGTACTACATTAATATATTAGCCACACCCACTAATTAAGGACATACCAATGATTGCATAGCTGACTCCATATCACCTCCTCTAACTAATTAATAAAAATTAATTATTAAAAAAACAAATAAAATAAAAATTAAATTATTATCAATATTAATAACAATTAGTAGCTCACGTAAAAATTCTGATAGTTCCATGTTCCATATTTCCTAAAATAATAAAAATAAAAACAGAATTATGACAATCATCATCAATAATGAATTGGTACATGTACACTGCATATACATGTAGTTGGTAATTTTGGAGGGGGTCAAAATTTTGGTGAATCCCTAAGGTGTCAAATTTGGTGGATCTCTAAATTTTTGATGATTGGTTGGTTTTTATTTGCAAAATCTGTGGTCATGTGCCATTGAGCATGCGCATAAATGGTTTGAAATAGCAAGCTTTATTTTGACGAATGGTTATCAAAATGATAAATTTTCCAAAATTATTCTCCTCCAAAATTACATGTACATGCACCAGCTATACATGTATGGTGCTTACTGGAGGAAAAGACGATTTGTCTGGTAACTGTCTAACACACTTTAGGGCCTCTCTCTCGTACCTTTTAATGGCCAGATCTATTGTACGTGGCACTAATGACAAAAAAAGGAGAGTATTTAGATTAAAAATAAATAAATAAACCAATCATCACTGACTCTGTGCTTGCAAGTCTCTTATGACGAAGTTCAGTAGGTTTTTAGGCGTCACTTCTGCTATTTCGCTCGCCTTCTCTGACGCATTTTCATTCTTTTTCTTTCTCGCAGCTCTCCTGGTTCGAGGCATTTTCTTCTGATTATTATTTTCTTCTGATTATTATTTTCTTCTTAGTTTTTCTAAAAAGAAAGTAATAATTTTTCCCGCCAAACGTTAATTTAGATTACCCTGCAACGTTAAATTAGATTAGTGCGAAGGCGTGGTTTTAAATAATACCACGCCTTTATGACGTAAGGGGATATACTGACCTTGTAATTCCTCCGTACAATTCCGTATACTTGTCAGTGAGGCAGAGAAAACAGGTCATTCTCTGGAAAACCTTTATCGTATTTCCGAGTCACTAGGAGCACTTTAGGGCCCTTCTTTTACGCCCCCTCCGTCTCTCTGTGGCTGGTATAATGGCCCAGAGCCCGAGGTGAGTTCTAATTAGCTCGGCATAATCATTTCGAACAATTTCAAGTAGAAGTATATACTTGATTGTGGGCACTTGATGCTCGATTTGATGGGAGGCCATGTGTGTTATAGGGGAGGGGCAGGTAGTGAAGGACAGTTAAGGGAACTAAAGTGTGGAGAGTATGCATGTACATGTACACAGTTCCTGTATCACATGATACAAATGGGTTTGTAGTTAAGAATGTTTGTGATCCATGTACATATTTGTATTTGCATTTTTATGAGTTTTGTTTTCATTTTATTGATGTATTGTGACGCCCACTTCTTTCCTCCTTCCATCAGTCAATATGCTACTCCGTCTTTCTCGCAAATGAATTTAAGAAGTATGTGGAACGTATTCAGTAATAGTATGAAAGTATTTACACTTTTCTTTCTGTCTTTTGTCTTTGCTCTTTTTTGCTACTCTCTCTCTCTCCCCCCCCCCTCTCTCTCTCTCTTTAAAGTTGTTAAAGCAAATCTTCAAGAAAATGGGAAAATATTTGGTAAGTGAAATGGAAAGATAGAGAGGGAGAGTGAGGGGGGAGTAGAAAGGAGAGAACAACAATGGCATATGATGAAAATGAAGACCATAAACTTCATTCAAAAAAACACACACAAACTCATGATTTACTTGACCTTTGATATGAGGATGCATGATGTGTGTGTGAATTGTGTAGAAGCAAAATTGTACCCTTTATACTTTGAATAAAAGGTCCCCCTCTTCCTCTCTCTCTTCCTCCTCTCTCTCTCTCCCTCTCTCTCTCCCTCTCCCTCTCTCCCTCTCTCTCCCTCTCTCTCCCTCCCCCTCTCTCCCTCTCTAGCTCGTAATACATTCTGTGAAGTGATAGTTGATGGTCAGAAACACGGTAACCTTAAGACTGATGTATGCAAGAAGACAAGCACTCCGGAATGGGACGAAGAATTCACAGCGTAAGATATTGAAAGCAACCCCCTTAATTTTATTGAAAATATTGGAAAATTTTAATTGCTCACAATAATTATATTATACACGTGTACTTGCACTTTAATTTGCTGATTCGTTAAATTTTCTACATGTTTTCAATCTACACTGTATATGTACACGTACATCTAATACACTTAATTTTTTTAGAAGTACAGTACCTCTTTTATCATCTCTCTCTCCCTTTTCTCTAACTCTTTTTCTTCTCCTCTCCTTTTCTCTATCAGTTTAGTTACTCCGTCTAGTAAATTATTATTTATAATTCACAATCAAGGATTGTTTAGTTCAGTATTAGGACAAGTCTCATTGGACCTTGGACCAATCATCAGAGAACATCAGGGATATGGTAAGGAGAGGGAGAGGGAGGAAGTGAGTGAGTGTGTGTGTGTGTGTGTGTGTGTGTGTGTGTGTGTGTGTGTGTGTGTGTGTGTGTGTGTGTGTGTGTGTGTGTGTGTGT